GTCAAAAAATATGATGGCTTCAATAGTATGGGTTTTATAGCGGAGCTTTTTTAGTATTAGGAAGCTCATACCATTCCTATAATGAATATTTCCAAGTATTTGCTGGGGTTTCGGATAATATAAGTGAACGATGGTAAGGCTGTAATAAGCTATGGCTGACTGTGGAGTCGGTATGTTATAAAACATTATTTATTAGAATGTCTAAAAATTTTCACTTATAGGAAGTGGAATACCACATATAAACTCCTAAAGTCTAAAGGCAGGAATTTTTTTCATATTGAAATTTCCCGGACAATTATTGAACAATTAGAAAAAAATGTGTTATACAATATAATTAATTTTAAAAACTTTTATGAATTAATTATCTTAGTTATCAATTTTTCATAAATAATTTTTTGGAATATCTTAATAATTACCAATAACAATATTCGCTCCAATATTTTATTCTAACACTATTTATATTAATTAATTAATTATTATTCATTCTTATACTCGTATTCATGATGGCATTTCTTAGGTACCTATATTATATTGTTAATCAGTTCGAACTATGCTCATACATTATTAAATTTTTAAAATAGTCTTAAATTATTATAATTAAAATTTATTTTAATTTTTGATTAAGTAAAAGAAAAAATAATTTTTGCTTTATAATTTATAGATTCATTCGTTTAAAGCCTTAAGGCTAAATTTTCAATAAATAATTTAAATTTTGAAAGTACAAAAAAAATTGATTTTTTTTTAATTTTTAATAAAATTTATTTTATAATTTATTTTATTGACATTTGAATGAAATTTTAATAAAAAATTTTAATAAATATTGGCACTAAATATTTTATTTTAAATAAATTTTTGCCCTCTGGCGGTCAATTTATATATAATTTATAATCGAAATACAAAATATGCCTTGAAATTTTTTAATTATTATTTCGAGATTTGTTCTTACTTGCTTTTTTTGTATTGATAATTAAATGTGATATTATTCATATGAGTATTGAAGTTAAATTGGAGTTCATTGGGTTCAATTTTTTCTTTTTTTTTTTTTTGGAAAAGAACTAAACAAAAAATATATTAAGTGTTAATTATAAAAGGAAATGTAATTTTGCATTGAAATATGACCGAAAAATTCTGGTAATTCAAAATAGAATGAAAATATTAAATATAAAAACTTTATAAAACAAAAAAAAACATAATATTTAACTGTAATCTAAATAAAATTCTAACACAAAATTTGAAAATTTGTTACCGTAAACAATAATCGTCTAAGTAAAATTTAATAATTTCTAAGTTAGTTATAAAAATACATTTTGTAACAGATTTCGTGAAAATTTGTTAGGTATACCTGAATTAGTTTTCGTTGATGATACAGAAATTGCTGGACTTGAAATTATTTTTAACAAAACTATTAGGAATATAGACATGTTTTTTAGGAAGACGAAATTGTTCAAGTAGCCGGCTTTGTATCTGAACGTACAATAGTGACTTGGTTTTTGTAACGAATTGATAATAAAATAACAGGTTATCTGTGTTAATTGGGATTCCTTCTAATCTGAGTCATGCTAGTCAACTGAATCAAACACTTAACCATTTTTTCATTAATTCCGAAACTATAAATATAATATTGTAAAAATTTACAATATTTATTTTAAAAGAATATTTTTTTTACTTCAAACTTAGTTTATTAAAATATATCTCTTTATATGTAATAAAAATTATTATATAATATATGAACAATGTTATATAGACTAGAGGATAATTCAAATAGGACACGAATTAATATAACAAAACAAGACCGTGGAATGAAAATCGAATAGAATATATTAGACAAAAATTTCCGGATTCTTAACATTTACATAATTTTAAAAGAGAAACGGTTATTGTAACAGTATCACGTACCATTTTTTTTTATCATATTCACACATTTTATTTTTTGTTATACAATTTCAGTATATACTTTTATACGGTTTAAGTAAATTTAAATTTATGAACTTCCGTTTTTTGTATGTATGATAACAAGAATCTGTGTTTTTTTTTTGGAATAAATTTAAGATTTTAATCGAAATAACCTTAAATTATTTTTATTTTTACTCAATTATTTTAATTTAATTTTAATATTATTTATGTTATAAGTACATAAAATTATTTTTATTATACAAAAAATACAATTTTTTTAAAACATGTAATTAAAGAGAAGAAAAAAAAGTAATGGAGAAAAATTGTTAAGGAAGATTAAAGATGTTAAAAATTAAAAAGATATTGTAAACACACAATATTCATACATCACTTAAATTTTATTACAGATCATTTAGATCAACATTTTATTCTTCTTCTATATACGTGATGCTTATATGAATGGAAACTCTTAAAATAATATAATGTATGAGGTTTAAAATTGACCATTAAAAAAAAAAAATATTTTGTCCTTTTTTTTTATTAATCACGATATTATAAAAAATTTTAAATAATAATTTACACGCATTATGATGATCATATACTTACGTTATAATAAATGTATACCATAAGCATTTAGTTATAACTTATTAGTATGTCCTGTCAACATAACAATTACAATTCGCCTTTTTATTTTTCATATATTTTAAGGCTTCATTTCTCATTTAAATTATATGCAAGTCATATATGAAATGCATTCTTTATACTTACTTTATTTTTGAAATTTTATATTGAAATGTTTAAAAAATTTTTTGGATAACTTTAATTATAGATTTTTTTTGTTTTTTATTTTTTTTTTTTAAATTCTTTTTAAATTTTTAATTTATTTAAAATATCTTATTACAATTTTTTGGTTTTAGTTCTTATAAATCATAATAATTGCACGATATCTGAATATTTATTAAAATAATCCTTCAAAAAATTTAATATACATACATGACATACATACATATGTACATAATAATGTATAAATTAAATCCTTTTCATATATTAATTGTAATACGCACTCTTTTTTATAATCATATGTGGGATTTTTAAAAATAAAATGAGAAAGAGAAAATTAAAATACCGAAAAAATTCAAAAATAAAAATAAAAAAAAAAATTTTTATTCTCAAGGTCAATTTATTTTTTTTATTTCGATTTTATTTTTTCGCTATATGCACCATTCCATAAATACATTTTATTCCTTTATGCATTTAAAAATGCTAAAAAAATTTTTTTCTTATAAAAAATCTTCTTTTAATTTTCTTTAATTTTCTTAAATGTTTTATTGATTTTTTCTTCTTTTTTCTTACATGATGAATGGTATTTTGTAAGAAGACATTTATATTTACATGAAGTAACATTAGTATATCAAAAATAAAAAATTATGTATAGTCTGCTCGTAATCATAAATGTTTTATCTACAATTTTGTTTGATTTCGCAGATTCTATGAAATTTAATTGCATAATATGTTGATGAGCTAACAAGACGAGAATTTAGGAAAAAATATTTTTTTACTTGAACCAACCGAACTAATAATAATCTTGAAAGTTTATACATAAATATCGGACTGAAATATATATGTGATATTTCGAAGACAATATTCAGGCGTAACAGTTTTACTCTAGATACGACATAATTAAAATTTTTTGATAAAGATACACCTGAATCCGTTTATCCGCCTGTCTTTGTAAGGGTCAGTGTGCGAAATTGTAAGACAGAAGAGAGGAATTCTACAAGTACTAGTAAATAAATTTCATTTAGAAAGCTGTTTTTGTACGACAAAAATCTCCCATCCTCCTCTAGCTATAACACTTTAAAATTCTTAAAAGATAAAATTTTTTTTTAAATTTTATTTTATCGTTGCCATATAGGCAAATTTTCAATTCTGTATTTACGTAAGAAGTTTACAAAATTTATCTCTTTTTGATTACAATTTTCATTTTCTCCATTCTCTCTTGAAATAACATTCTCTCATTGATTACAATTTTCGATCGGTTATTTTATCAAAATTAAGAGCTTTATTGTATTTTTACTAAATTAGGAAGATAAAGGAAAATAACATTTTCATCAAACCTTATAATTATAGCCTAATTAAACTGTAAATTCTACTAAATGCAATATTTTATTCACATACTCCTGAAAGTATGCAATTTTTCATAAGATTTTATTAACATCAAAAAAAAACATTTTTATTTCATTTTTTAGCCCTTAAAAACCTATATTTTGCAATAGCAATACTTAATATATGAGAAATTTTTTAATTTAATTTCATTTTATTACCAAAATTCTTATATTTTATTGATAAACCACATTTTTAAATTATGGCTTCGAATTAAAGAAGATGACACTTAACTTATGCGTGCCAGAATTAAAAATATGAAAACAAAAAATCAAAACACACAAAACTCATATATTTTTTTTAATAAATATATTTTTTCGATTTATCATATCAAAAAACCAAAAAAACAAAAATAAAACAAAAAAATTAAATATCTTCTTAAGACATCGAATATAACAAATTATATAAAAAGTAAATAATAAAATAAGGAATCCGAATGTATAAAGTACAGCAAAGGCCAGTATTAAATTACTTTATACTTATAATACTTACATGATATTTACACTACTAACCAATATACCTAATACCCTCCCTCACCATCTATACCATCTCAACGACATCATTATACTTACCATCATCAAGCAAAATCAAAAAAGAAGATAGTATATAGTAAAGTAATAAAAGAAAAATACAAAAATTAAAACAAAAAAAAACAACTATTATAAGAAAAAACCAAATTACACCAACAAATAATAAAAAAGTACCAGAAAAGTTTTGATCGCTAAAATAAAAAGGTAAAAAACAACAACAACAAAATGAAAAACTTTGCAACATCAGATCAGAAAATTTTTATTTTTTATGTTTTTGTTGTTGTTGTTATTGCTATTTTTAATAACTTCAAAAAAAAAAACACATATACCATCATTATATTATTATTTACACATACCACTTTTATGGTATATAAGGCGAGTGTCATCTTTTAACTAGCATCAGTTGCAAAGTTTTCTAGCATCAGTTAATAACAACACAAAAAATAAATTTTTTTAATTATTTAATAATTAAATTCTTTATTAAAAAATTAATAATTAATTAATTAAATTTAATTTAATTTAAAAAAAATTTTTTTTAATTTTTGTTCTTTGTTAATTTTAAAAAAAACAAAAAATCTTTTTAAAAATGTTCAAAATTGCCGTAGTATTTGCCGTTTTATTCGCTGTTGCATTAGGTCGTCCACAACAACAACCGGAAGTAACAATTCTTAGATACGAAAATAATAATGATGGATCCGGAAACTATCATTACGAGTAAGGATATAATAACATTTTCTTTTTTGTTCTTCATATATTTTTCAAATTAAATTTTTACAAAATATGAAAAGTGCATAATAATTAAAGAAGAAATAAATTAAAAAAAAAAAACAATGAACATAATTGAAGAAAAAATAATGAATTATCAAAAATTTCTACATAACTACATAGTGAGGATATTTGATAAACTATATTAAAAGGATATTACAAAAAGGATTTCAATATTAAAACTTTAAAATTAGAATTTTATTGAAAAAGTACATTGAATATTTTTGTTTTAAAAATCAGTGAAATTCAAATGGTTTTGTTTTTATGATGAAGTCATTGATATGATAAAGTGCTAATAAACATATGAATAGATTAATAATTTCAAATAATTATTTTTGTATATATATATATATATTTAAATATATATTTAAATGAATGAAAATTGTGAGAAATTCTCAAATCAGAATAAAACTAGGACTCGGGCTCAATAAATTTAAAGGAATTTAATCAATTAATTAATAACGATTAAAAAGTTATTAATAAATTAGATGATTAACTATTTTGAGTAATTCAAATTTAATTAAAAATAATTATGCTTTGAAATATTATAATTGAAAGAATAAATTTAAATTTTAATTTTTCATGTTTTAGTTAAAAATTTCTTAATAAATAATTTAGAAGAATTCTGAGTGTATATTTATGATATACAAGAAAAATTTTTTAAATATTTGAATTAAATTTTAAATCTTCTGTGTTACATTCGCAATTATCTGTGCTCACAAACTATTGTTAATATTTCATTTATCTTTAAAAAGCATCTTTTATTTTTTCTAAAAATTTACCAAATAATAACCTTTCAATTATATCCCAGTTAAAAGTAATTATTAAATATTTTTCATTCATTTCTTTTGTCCAAAAATTTAATATTATTAATTATAAATTTATATACTCATTTGAAATTAAGCATATAAAACTTTCTTTCATACTAAAATTACAAAATTTTCACAATTAATAAATTACTATCATTACTTAATAGCACAATATATAGATTATGTATGTATGAATATAATAGACCATTTATGACCTAAATCATAAAAAAATTACATGAATTACATACTATGTATTCGTAGTCAGGAATCTATAATCAGATATTAATATTATAATTTATTGCTTTAAGCAATGAATTGCGGCGTGTTCATTATATAGGAGTTATTATTAATTTTTTTTTAATATTAATTATAATTTAAACGGCCCATTTCATCGAATTTTCTTATATATAAAAAACTAAATTATTATTATAATAATTTACTTTGCCATACTCTCATAAACAAGTTGATCATTTTGCGATTTTATACTTTAAATTATGTTTTTCTGTACATCGTTTAAAGCATTAAATATTTTTTTAAATTTTTTGCCATTTTTTTAATAATTTAAATATATTTTATTTAATTTTAAAGAAAAAAAAGCCAAAATAATTTATTTTAACACCCGATAAAATCATCATCATACAAAAACAAAAAAAAAATTCCCTTAATTTAATTTAAAGAAGAATTATTCAAGAAACAAACAAAAAAGAAGATATAGTAAATTGCAAACAATGCCAACAGCTATACCATGTCATTCATTTAGGCCTTATTTTTCATATGAATTCATTCATACATGTATAATTGATTTCTGTGTATGAACACATAAAAAACCATTAAATTTATTTTGCTTACAAGAAAAAGAACAAATATGAAATAAAATGTAAAACACAAGGAAATTTTGTTGGACATATCATAATCATATAATTGACTATATATTTTTATATTATGTTAATTGACCGCATCTGAAAGAAATTTTTCAACAATACAAAAAAAATTCCAGATAAATAAGTTTTAATTTTATGGCTTTTTGTCACATAATTGTTTTTTTTTTTATAATATTATGCATAAATTTTCATATATTATATTGTATGTACTGTTATACGTATGTATAACAGTTTTAAAACTGTTATATGTAAGTATAACAGTTATGGTTTTTACATAATACATTTGGTATAACACATTAAATTGGCTGATTTATAGGTTTTGAGTATCAAAATTCTTAACAAAAGCTATTTCATTTCACACTTAAATTTTATATAAATTTAATTATATGAAGATTAGAATGGGTTTATATTCGAAGTAATTCGTTCAATAATATGTTCAAATAATCAAAAGAATTATCATCTTAACAATACTTGTTGATGGTTTCAATAGAGCAAATAAATTTTATACCATAATAATTTTTCAATTATATAAATATTATAATAATATATCAAGCTTACACACATGTAGACATCAAACATACAAATTGTTCATGAATTTTGTTTGATAATAATTCAATAGAGTTCTATTTTTCCCATTAAATGAAATAAATCAATGTCTACCTTCACAAATATACTATTAATTGCATCGAACATCAATGTATAAGCAATGTATGATAGTATTCTATATCTTACATTAATTAATAGTTACATAATCCCAATATATGGTGAAAACTTATGTAATGCCCTCAATATAAGAAGATAAAGCAACAATATTTTTTCATGGTCAATTAAAATTTAATACCCACAAATTATATTAAAAAGAAAATAAAATTTATATTGAAATTATAAATTTATAATTTATCTGATGAAATTTTTATACTCTCTTATACATAATCGAACATCTTTACAAACACAAAGTTTTCTTTACATAATTATTTTGTGAACATTTTTGTTCCTTTCTACTATCTTTATACCCACATATTATCAAAAAAAAAAAAAAATTCATATTATTAAATAATCGAAATTTTTAAAAATATTGGTCATCGATTAAAATGCAAAAGAATGATAAAAAGCATATGTTTCTGGAATTTTTCAAAAAAAAAATCTACAATCAACAAATTGTTTTTTTTGTTCGAGATTAATTGATGAAGATTTAACACAGTCAAGAGTTTTTCAATGATTTAATAAATGAAACGTGATAAATGACATAGCCGACTGCAGACCAACCAAACAAACCAATTGTATAGTATACAGTAAATTTGCAAGACAGCATTATTTACAACAGCAACAAGAAAAAAATATTACAATTTTTTTTTTCTTCTCTTCTTAAATCTTATATTAAAATTTTTTCATTTTTGGATTTTTTGCGCGCTCCTACAATTTCATTTTAATACTCGTAAATTTTTTAAGTAAATATTTTTGTATGATTGCATAATTTATACAAGTTGTTTGCTGCTCATCTTCAGTTTATTTTTAATAATCTTTAATATCATGTTTTTGTTGTTGTTTATCTTCTTCTTTTTCTTGTACTTCTTTTTTTTTTTTTGAAATTGGTACATGATTACATGATTTTGAAATATTGTGTTCTTGCAAATTAATATAAAAATTATTTTACTTACTATAAGATTTTGTAATTAAAAATTAAAATTATCTACATTTACATAATGAATGTATAGATGCTTAGTATCTAGTACATATGCAAATAGAAGTTATGGGTAAATAGACCTTCTATATAAAGATTAATATAATATACGGAAATTTTCTTGTTTATTTATGCATTTTATATTTTTTTTTTTTGCTATTTATAGATGATTACCGATATATTTTCTTTAACATTAAGTTTTAACATTTTAAAATGTAAAATACATTAAAACAACATAATCTATTATACATTTATGTATATACGAGTTATTTGAAATCAGAAAATATTGGAAAATTTGGAAAATTATTTTAAAAATTCATTGACATAAAATGGATGATTAAAATCATTACTTTTACGCATGTAGCATGTGATTTCAAAAAAAAAAAAATTACAGGGAATTTGTGTATATTCCAACAGGCATGCAAAATTCTTTCAATATCTAACAGTTAAATTGTTTCGTTTTTGCATTTTATTGGGCCATTTCAGCTTCAACTTAGATCAAATTTCAAGTCCAGCATTGCATTCAAAATATTTCAATAATTTTTTAGTTCTAAAAGTATTTTCAATATACAAAATTCAAAATCAAAACGGAATACTAGAATTTAAATTTTAAAAATTGTTGGCTTTCCGAACATATTCTCTATAATAATGCGGTCTTATACGAATTCTAAAAGAATTGTATATTCTATTCATAGATCGCCGTTCCTAATTAATTTTGGACGGCATATTAATGTTACAAATTTAAAATTTAGCTAAAAATCTCATAGAATTTTAATCAGAATGAAATTACATATTTTTCAACATATTATAAAATTTCACTATATGCACCTATACCAATACATAATCATTATATTCCGAAACATCTAATTTATAAATCATTTATTACAAGTTTTACATGATTATCAAATATTGTTGTTCAGAATTATTTAATAAATACATTTAATAACTGTTATACAAAAATTTAATAATTATTGCTTTTAAAATATTGAAAGCAATTGAAATTGTTGAAATTGCTTTTGCTAAATATTGCTAGTATAGCATCACATATATACTATTAAAAATATATTTATACCGCCCAAAATTACTTATACAGTTTTTGCAAAATCCTTAATGAAATCTCATATAATGCAATAAATTAGCAATATCCACTGCATTAGTTTATGTAACAATATTTTCAATTTTATTAACAAAATACATACAATATTACATACAATATTGTTGTAAATAATTAATTTAACATTGTATTTTCTATATATGCCAGAAAACATTTAATGTACATACATATGTAGATACATGAATTGAAGATGTAATTATTTCAATTAAATTAATTAAAAATTTAAATGTGTTTAAAATACAATTAACCTGAATCACGTTTTAATATCATTATATTAATTTTCTTTTTTTTTCAAAATATATAAATTTCGCGAAAAATAATAAAATTAAGAAATAATAATCGATTTCTAATGTTTATAATTACGAAATTTCTTATAATATAGATAAGTATAGTAATAAAATTGTTGAAATAAGAAAAAAAAAAGTTGTTATTTTGACAATGACATAAAAAAAAAAATTTAAAAAATCTATTTACCTTTTTTGTGCATATATGAGGTGTTTTTTTTTTTTGCAATTTTCTATAATAATCAACAATAAGAAATATAAGAGAAAAATATTTGAAAATAAGTGAATCTTCATTTTTGATTTTATATACGAGTATTCATAGCTTTGCTGATTTTTAATTTATATATACTCTTTAGTACAGATATATGTATATGCATTATATGTGCACATGCACATATCGTATAAAATATTCAACAAATTTTATTACAGTGCTTTTATGAAAAGCTATAAAAGAAATTAAATTTTAAATCAACAATTTAATTACGTTTTATTTTTTTAGAATTACAATTTTTAATGAAAATTCACAGTATGTCAAAGAAAATCTAAAATTTTTATAGTTAAATTAATTTTGAAATTCAATGAAATTTTGAATTTTAATATTTAAATTCAAAAATTATTATTGTTAAATTAACAGTTAAGGCTGTTAAGTTAAATTTTGAAGAATTGTTAAATTAACAGTAATAATTTTGGATTTTTAAAATTTAACAAATTCTTATAATGCACTTTAAATTTTGCTTGGAGGAAACCCCCCCCGCATTTCCTCAATTATTTACAATTTAATTTAATAATTAAATAAAAATTTTTAATAATTTTTAATTTTTATAAATTAAATATTAAAATTTCTATTTTCCCATTCTTTATTAAATAGATATGAATTAAGTGATGGACAACGTCGTGATGAAACTGGTGAATTAAAAAATGTTGAAGGTGCTGAAGAACCTGTTGTTGTTATGACTGGTAGTTGGAGTTATGTTGATGCTGAAGGTAAAACACATGAAGTAACATATACAGCTGATGAAAATGGGTTCCATCCAGTTGTATCAAAATAAAAGGGTTGGCTTTTTTATGTTAAGGGGATGATAAACAACAACAAACAAACAAATATATAAAACAACAACAACAACAACAATTCAGAATACTCACACAGATACAAAAAGTACACACACTCACACACTCTAAAAATAACAATAGAAATTTTCTAAAACAAACAAAATACAACAAAAAAAAATATATAAAAATTATAAAAAAAAACTTAAATTACACCCACACAAATTTTATAAAAAAAAAATAATTTAAAAAAAAAATTATTGTTTTTGTTAAAAAAAACGCTTTCGGCCAGTATTTCAAAATTATTTTTAATATTTTATTTTTTTCTAAAAATAATGAAAATGTGAAAAAAAAAAAACAAAAATTTTTTAAAAATCCTTTAGTTTATTTACCGTTATTGTGAGTAGTAATTCCTCCCCCTTCTCCCACTCCAATATAAAAATTTTATTATATATAAATTTAAGATATTACATGATTTTGTATATGTATATAAAAAATATTATATATATATGTATGTTTTTCTTAAATTCTCTTTTGTACATAGACTGTGACAGAATAAAATAAAAAATAATGTTAAAAAAAAATTAAAAGGAAAAAATTTAAAAATTTTAAGAATAAAAATTATGTGAAACAAAATTGAAAAGTCAAAAAAAAAAAATAAATAAAAAAAATATTTAAAAAAAAAATATATGTGCCTTTTTTAATTAATCTAATGTAATTTGTAAGGGAATATATTCTAATACAGAAGGGTCCAATTGTCGTTAATGCAAAAAAATTATTAAACTTTGGTTACCAAAATAAATCGTTATTAAAACTACTGAAAAGCAACTGTTGCAGCAGTTTTACACTAACATTTTTTTTTGCAGCGACATCAATATGATTTGCTAGCTTAATTATATTTACTACATAATATTATTTACTATTAATTTCATAATTAATAATAATTAATATTATTAGTGAACTACTTATCCTAATTATAGGTTGTTGTCTTTGATTACAGTAATGCATTGCGTTTCATATACTTGTATAATTTATTTCGACTATCATCCATTTTCTTTTTAAAAATCTAGTGCATTTTTATTAACACTCCATTAAGACTGACTCCTATCGAGTAATTTGCAAGATTATAAGACATGAAAAATTCAAAATTCTTGTACATATAGTTTTACAACTTCCTAGTATTTTTCTCCTATTGTAAATGATTGTCACACATTCTTATATTAGGAGGTTAATAAATTTTTCCCATTTTTTAGATCTTTTATAATTGCCATCCCTACCTATATTAGCACTATACGTAGGTGTCTGAAAAATTGCAGTATTGCAGCCACTTCAAACCGTGAAACTTCTATTGGAGTCACAATGCTCATTTCGAAAGCATTTTAATCATATTTGAGTCACTATACCTCACATTTGTTCTACGATATTAAAAATCTACTAAATAACTGGTATAGTGTTTTATAAGCGTGTCTTCTAAATATCAGTTTAAATTATTTATGTGTCTCCTTAATAATTTTCTAAAAATTTTGATTTATGTAATATTTCCATGTGCATGTAGCTGTCATATAAAATATAGAAATATTTTTAGAATTTTCAAATCTATCGCTTAACTCTTATGAAACTACTAAACAGGCAATATACTAAAAACATACTATTAATAAATATGTAATTCTAGTTTATGTATTAAATTAAAACCATGAACTTGAATTGAAAATTTATATTATATTAAATGAAATATGATATAGGATAAAAGAAAAATAAGTTGCCCCCTAAAGGCAAACATACTATAAAATTTTTACAGGTTTATTTTATGAAAAAATTTGCAGTAAATTCAATTTAATTTTTATATAATATTATAATACAGTATACTTATATATATACGCCTGAAACTTACTAACAAGACCAGAATCTAAGTGTTCATGATCTTAAACTAAATAAACAAATATAACATTAAATGAACATGATATGAGGAAATGGAATAAAATTTTAAGTATATTTTGTATATGAAAACACATTAGACTATTCTAGAACTAAAAATCTTAACTTATTTAAAAAAAAAAAATTCAAAAGTAATGCAAAACAAAAAAATTGTCATTCAAATTAAAACATAAATTACAAATAGCTAGATAGCGCAAAAAACCGAAACTGTCGGATTGAATTTCCAATAATAAGATTAAATTTCCAAGTGCAAAATATGTGTTATACAAACATATGTATGTATATATATAAAATCTGTACTTGTATACATGTATAGTATAGCTCATGCTAGCAATAATTCTTTACTTCACTTAGCTCTTGTAATATTTCTTCGTATTCTTCATATAGCTTCAAGCATTATACATGAATAAATTTATGATCAAGTGTTATACATTGTGTATAAAAATTTCAATTTAGAAAATATTTTTTTTTTTTAAGGGGCAATATTTTCTTTGTTGTATTTACAATAATCATCTTTTTATTTTCTTAAAATGCCAGATTTTTATTGGTGCATTCTATACACTAGAAACGTTCTCTACTCTATATTAGAGGAATGATAAACCTAAAATAGAAGAAGTTAGTATTCTTTGTTTATTTTTTTTTGATCTAATTGAATTGGACATTCTTTTATGCTTCGAAATTTTTTTTTTTTTTTGATAGCTCATCTTATATTATGTATGTACATATGTATATGTATATGTATTTATACAAGGAATTGCTGTATTCTGATGACTTTTGCAAAAGAATTTATTTTCATTCATATATGGTTATATTTGGTGTATTTAATGTTACTTACAGTTTTTACAGAATTTGAATCAAAAGAAAGGCAAAATTTTATAAAATATTAAACCATTTCGAATGTATTATAATGTGTATTGTACATATACGTACAAACATATAGACCTATATACAAATATGTAAAAAAAATATTCACGCTCTTTATATATGTACACAAATTATTTAAAGTGGTTTAACATTATAATCAAGTTGGAATTTTATTGTTTTTCCTATAGTTACTCTAGGTATATTTCGTATAGGGTAAACTGGGGTGAAGTGGTGGTGTGAATGATCATTCGTAGCGAATTGTTGGCGTATTCGCTATAAAAATATATTTAGCATAAGATTAAAATAAAATTAAGAAAAAAAAATTCAATTTTAATATTCCGATTAAAAAGTGGTTTTTTGAACAGCTTTTCCATAACTCTATATTACTCTGTAAAAGTCTTTGTAGTCATTTGTATCTTTGTACTTCATTTGCAGTTTGACAAATAATTCTTTTAGTTGGAAGTAACTGGTAAATAGTTACTTCTAATGAGCATAATCACCCTTGAATGATGAATACATAATAAAACTATGACACTTTAGTATTTAAAAGCATCGGAATTCTTGTAATATGGAAAAGTAATGCAGACGGTATATTATATCGTATATACGGTACAGCAAGCCAAAGAATCTTGATTTAAAATTTATTTCCCGAATATTTCAAGTAAGAGGGAACATACGTGCATATGAAATGGTTTAACTTTTTTCGATTGTTTTCTATTGCAATTCCAAGAGAGATTCAGAGAGGTGTCATTACCTAAATTTACGATAATATACAAATGAAATATAAAAATCTTTCAATTTCAAATAAATTAATTAATATTTAATTTTTATAGAAGTATTAAGTTATTCTTTCCGAAATTTTGAAAAGAGAAAAACGTGGATCACTTTACCCACAGTTACCTTAATCATATACAAATAATGTTATTATTGTTGTATGCTTTATTCTGTACATATACACATTTTGTTTTGTAAGGTAAACGCGCGTTTTACTGTGACAAATTAGTTATAGCTTCTTTTTCTTTCTTAATTTGCTTTGCAGATATATATAATATTATATATACATTGGTATATAGTAAAAATATTTTATATATATATACATATTACAATCATGCATGTTAAATTTGCATACAATTATATGAAATTAGGTGAATTTGTAAATTGTAAGAGTAATATTGTAAGAAGTATAACAGAATTGTAAAAATAAATGAATGATTTTTAATAAACTTTATTTTTCGAGTACAGTATGTTTTTGCAAATTAGCTTACTTCATGTGTATTTACAATCGTATATATGTAAAATTGTTTGAATTTAATTATTATTAAAAAATTTGGTAAAAATTAGATGTTTATTTTCGCTTTTCCATATATTGAGTCGTGTAAAAAAGTTTAGTGTAAGTGACTTACATTTTATATAATGTGAATTGGTAATTGTGAATATTTTTCTATTTTATTCAGATTTCTCCGAAAAAATGTATATATTAATATTTATAAATTTTTTAACAATAAAATTTTATCTTTTTATGTATGTATGCATTCAGTATGTTAATTAATAATGTTATATTGGTGATAACTACCATAACTACCGGAATTAGATGATTCTAGATGTGCGTATAGAAAATATATAAATAAAATATTGAATTTTTATAGGTTTATAACAGTTTTAAAAAATAAAGTCGAAATAAAATTTTCTACAACAATCAATTTATAAAGTGCATTCAAATTGGCAAAATCTATGATTAAGAGTCCATATTGGTCTTCCTTTTATTATAAAATAATTGCATATAATTAGGCTAAACATAATATTCACAGTTTTATTGCATATTCAATTTTTTTTTTTAAATTGAAAATAATTTTTCTTTGTTTTTGCATACATTTAGGATTAATCCTTTCATTTTGTGAAGATACTGGAAAAAATAATTTTTCTTAGAATTTTATGATATTTTTTTTTATGGAAGCAATAATAAAGTGAGACCAAACCCCATTCCAATTAGAATGTTTAAGTAGGTATTCACATATCTAGTTTTATACAAAGAAACGTATGGTTAATTATGGGCTATAAATTATTATAGTTAATATGAGAAGCAAGATGAGAAAGATGAGAGTTTAAGGGCATATACATAGGTAATTTAAAATAATAAAAAGTTTATATTCATAATTAAATGAATGAAAAAATTTTATTAGGTTTAAGTTGTATAACGTTATATTTTCAAAATAAGAAAATAGCATTATAAAAGGACAACTAAATTTAACTATTTTGACTATAAGTAATTATTAAAGAGAACGAACCAAAATAATAAAACAAGGCTTATAAAAAAAAAGGGAAAACTATCTAATAAAAATTTTCAAATGGAAACTATTTTAATTTTTAATATACAAAATTTTTAATTGACGTTTTTATAGAAGGTTTTTAACTACATATAAGTACGAGCAGAAAAGAGCCCATGGCTAAAGTTTTTACATTGACTAATTCTGATGGTTTTTGTTTTTCATATATTTAAGATTTTGAATGAAAGAAGCTCTTTAATCTTATTCCCCGAAAGCTGTACTGTACTTAGTTCGTAAAAAACGATAACTTCCATATTATGTGGCTAACCCCTGTTACGATAGGATATAGGCAGAGAAAGTGATGAAGAATTCCTTT